AAAAAAAAAAAAAAAAAAAAGGACTTGAGGTCTGGCAATATGGTCCGTCTGTTAACACAGACTTGGAACTCGCGGCCCTGTTCCCAGCTGCCCACAGACCACCTTCGCTTTTCAGAAGGACAAGGCAGATCACATGCTTTCTTCTGTATCAACTACTTAGTTAATAACTTGGTTTCACTCGTGGGAATTTATGCTAAGTTTTCAGAGCAGGTGAAATTTACCAACCCTCTGGGAATCCCACCAGAGTGCATATCTCATGAAACAACCTCCCCCTGCCAAAAATGGGGAGGATATCGCCACTAAAAATTGACACCATCCATAAATCACTCGACTTGTTAACAATATGATCCTCTTATAGGGTCTGCAAAGCTCTTGCCCTGACCCAAGGCACTGAGCAAGAAATGACACTGTGTCCTGTTTCTTGCACTTAACCATCTGATAGCTCTGAAATGCAGCTCTGACGTTCCCAGGCTGGCCTCTGGCCTCCGGCCACCCACTCAGCCCCAGCTCCTAGCCAGGATTGAGAAATCCCTGTAAGTATCTCACCAGATGCCTGAACTACTGAAAAGTTACGGACTCCATGGACCTAGGGAGCTGAGTCTGTGGGTAGCTTATCCAAAATTTCAAAAGCGGCTTTCTGAGCCAGATGCAGGAAACGTACATCACTATTGTTTTCAATCAGAAAATCCCAAAATGAATGAACCTCCCACATGTGTGGGCTGTAAATCAACATTCCTTTGGAAGTATGTCTGCCTGCAGAAAGAGAGAGAGAGAGAGAGAGAGAGAGAGAACGAAAGAACAAAAGGAAGAAAGGAAGAAAAGGGAGGGAGGGGGAAGAAAAGAAAAGGAAAAAGAGAAGCAAAGCAAAGCAAAAAAATGGTTCTGAACTGAGAATGTACCATAGAGACGGACACTGAGGGGAGGGAGAACCAAACAGACGGACCATAAGGTTGAAGCTAAAGAGTTGCCCAAACTGTGCTCCCTAGATCCACCAATGAGAGACACCATTTCAAGGCACGTACCATCTACATTGTAGACTTTCAGCCCGGCCATGTGCTTGGCTGCTCGGAATTTGGAGGCTGTTAGGAGATTGGGGTTATAGATGGTGAAATCTTTATAGTAATTTTCCAGAACCACCAATGCTGCTCGCTGGATACTGAGAAAAGAGGGCAAAATTAATGCAATGCTTTTTCATTGAATAAGCAGGTCCTAAATGAAAAAAAAAAAAAAAAATCCTCTTCTGGAGTCAGGACACCAAGGGTAACCTGGCAGACTGGCAGCGGCTCCTGGGTTTCACTACCCCATTTGTCTCCGGGACGAGAATTTAAAGGTGAGACTGAGTTCCGTCATCAAGCGGCTCCCGTGCCTTCTCCCGGGCTATGTCATTAGCCACATCCCACCGAGACAACAGCTGAGAAAGGAATCAGTTATAACTTAGATTTGCTTAGGCTGCACGGAACTTTCCCGTTTTTCTCAGTTTACAAACGAGGGAAGCGAGGAGCCCACAAGGGTCAAGAGCCTTACAGATGGTGGCGGGGCTAACGGGTGAAGGGACCAAGTGTAGGTTCAGCTTTCTCAGGTCTCCGTGCAGGGGCTCCCTCTAAACCCCATCGCCCCTATTGTAAGGAAGGCTGGGCTTTCGGTTTTCTAGAAATCAGAACCAACTACAACCACACAGGGCAGAGGGCGCGTGATAGAAGCCGGCTCCAGTGGGGCGCCTGGGTGGCCAGGCTGGCAGCGCGGGGCCTGCTTGGGATTCTCTTTCTCTCCCTCTCTCTGCCCCTCCCCTATTCGCGCTGTTTCTCTCATAAAATAAATAAATAAATAAAAACACATAAATACATAAGTGCATGCTGCCTGCAGATATTAGTTAATCCCGATCCCTCCTCTGGGTTCCATCCTATCTGCCCCAGGTCAGCTGGAGCTCCGTGTTTCAGAGGGAGCAAGACCCCTTGAACCCTCAGCTGAGACCTTGACCTTTCTTGGTCTAACGAGGCCTTCTGCCCTCGGCCCTCTGCTGTCTCTGGCCCTCAGTAGAGGCATACGCAGCGGGCTCTCCCTGCCCAAGGTCAGGCCCCTAGGAGAGCAGCAGGGAAGAGGTAAGGCCAACAGGTACAGGGGCAGAGAAGGGAGGACGTCCACACTCCCTGCTGGCGGCAGAAGAACCTGCTCTTGGTCAGGACACTCACCACCTCAAAGAAAAACTTGGGTTCATACAGCACTGATTTTCGCATACCGTCGTGTCTGACTCCCACAATCATTCCAGGTAAGAAAACTGTCGTTCAAAAATCTCTGACCAGGGACACCTGGGTGGCTCGGTCAGTTTTTGAGCATGGGACTCCTGGTTTCAGCTCAAGTCATGACCTTGCAGTTTGTGAGTTCTAACCCTGTCGGGCTGTGTGCTGACAGCGTAGAACTTACTTGGGATTCTCTCTCTCTCCCTCTCTCTCTCTCTGCTCCACGGCTGCTCGTGTGCTCTCTCTCTCTCTCAAAATAAATAAATAAACTTAAAAAAAAAAAATCTCTGATCGGCACACAGGAGAGCTGGAACTCCAATCTGGGTTTACAAACCTCCAGCCTATGCTCTTTCCTTGCGACACGTGGCCCCTGTGGGACAGTGTACGTGCTGACACCAACTCTACAAATTTATTTTTATCTAGCCCTGCTTATTTTCCTTCCTAGCCCCTGCTAAGTGGGTGAGATTACCAGGGTCACTCACAATAGCCCAGGTGCCAGGACAGGGTTGCCCTCCACTCCTGGATGGCCACTGTAACTCTCTCAGTGGCTCAGGGATGTGCACTTCACAGAAAGACAACACAGCCCCCTAACCTATCAGCTGGACACTCTGTCAAACCCCGGCTCAGCTCCCCTTGTTTGGCACAGAGTCTAAAAACAATCCAGAAGTCAATCAGCTAACCTCCCTGATAGCAGGGCCATGGCAAAGCTATCCCACTTATATCCCAACAGTGCTTCAGTCAATCAATGGTCTACCCTCGGCTGTGGCTTAGTATCAGCCTCGACAGGCACACTCACGGGAGGCTGGGAGAATCTGGCGAGACCAGCCCTGTATAATGGAAGTAAGAGTCCTACGAGCAAATGTGCGTTTTAAAAGCCCTAGTCATCCAGTCGCACGGCTGCTCAATGTCCCTTCCACATTTGAGTGCCTCCGTCTGCCCAGCCCCGGGAATGCAAAGGCAGGACGCAAGGGGCTGCTCGTTAGCCAGCCCTACAGAGAACCCAAGCCCTGTGACAGCTGATGGGAATACATGTGGGTTGAGGGAGCGCAGGGAAGGTCCAGACTCCCTGAGCAAGCCAAGGGGTCCCTGAACCGAGGTTTTGTGTCACAGGTCTTAAGTCTGCTCAGTGGCTCTCCAGCTCAGAACGACCCGGGCGGTCTCCTCCTTGACGGCTGTCTCTGGTATTTTCCGAAGCGGGGCAAGAACTTCTTCACCCCCACCCCTCCATCCAGAGACTCTCTGCGGCCTGATCACGCGTGCACACACACACACACACACACACCCGCCCTCATAAGCACCCATCCCACCCCCTTCCCTGTGCACTGTCTCTCCAGAGGCTCCGGGCTCGGTGAGACCAGAAGTCCCTGCACACACAGTGTCTCAGTTCATGCACACAGACGTGCTGGCGTGCAAATATTTCCTCCCACACTACCATATGCACGTGAAAGGTGAAAACATCCCTAGGCTCCTGGATTCCAGCTGAAAGTTATTTCCCTGATCAACACTTAAAACTTAAAGGGCAACTCACAGGCTATTCTCAGGCCCGTCTTCAAAGCAAACCCTCTTGTGGTTGCTGGGTTTGGCTTTTCTGTCCAGCCAGGCCGCAGAGAGGAGCCCAGGGGATCCCGCTAACTCAGTCAGGGCCTGCTAGGCAGGAGAGGGAAAGCTGGATGGGAGCCCGGTGGCCCCATTTCCCAGCCTCTCTACCCCAAAACCACTGACAACGTGCTGTGCTGCTTGGAGAAGGGATGTCCTGCCCAGGCGCAGCTCCAGCACGGCTTCGCTTGCCGGGGTGCCCACCCCACGCCCTGCCTCCTTCTGGCACAGGGCTGCGGGCAGACACTCTCCAAACCGGGCAAGTCCACAAGCCTCCCTCGAAGCCCACTTACGCCAAAGCCCAGGCGGCCCTGGGGAGCGCGCAGGGATGGGGCAGGGAACCCGGGAAAGGAGCTGCTGACGTTACCTGTGTGGCTCTCCGAGTCCTCGAGAACCTTTGCTCAGGAAAACTGTTCAGTTCGGAATGAGGGGGAAAAGTCAGGCAGTGCTCGCCTTCCCCAGGACTGTCACCTCCACAGAGGTACCAGAGTTTCCCAGAAGCAGCCACGGACCGGGCCAGCCCCACTCCAGGCTGACAAGCTGACACAGGAGCTGAGGGACTCCCCTGGGAAGGTTAGAAATGCCTCTAAGAGGGGTGCATGGCCTCGTCCATAGAAAACGAGGCCATGCCTCGTGCACCACTCAACAGATCTAGCAATGCCGGGTACAGAAAGCTCCACATAACTAAAAATAACACATAACTGAAGTCCCAACTTCAAAAAACTGCTTGTGGGGCGCCTGGGTGGCTCAGTCAGTTAAGTGTCTGACTTCGGCTCAGGTCATGATCTTTAGGTTCGGGAGTTTGAGCCTCGCATCAGGCTCTGTGCTGACAGCTCAGAGCCTGGAGCCTGCTTCGGATTCTGTGTCTCCCTCTCTCTCCGCCCCTCCCCTGCTCAGGCTCACTCACTCTCTATCTCTCTCTCAAAAATAAATAAATAAACATTAAAAGAAAATCTTTTTTAAATGTTTGCAAAATCTGGATTAAAATGTGGGGCATCTGAGTGGTTCAATCGGTTAAGCATCCAACTCTTGATTTCGGCTCAGGTCGTGACCTCACTTGGGCTCTGTGCTGAGTGCAGAGCCTACTTGGGGTTCTCCCTCTCTCCTTCTCTCTCTGCCCCTCCCCTGCTCATGTGCTCTCTCTCAAAACAAACAAATAAACTTTAAAAAAAAAATTCAATATGCCTTTTTTCACCTTTTTAAAGACAGTAACCTACACGTGACTTAAGCCTTGTTGGTGACTCAGGATGAATGTTTCATGTGTTCATTATGAGCTGTGCCACGTACATAGCCCCGTGAAAATGTCAGACCCCACAGGAGACAGAGGCCACCTGTCCCCACGCCCCACGCTGGGTACTCAAGGCTGTTTCTTCACATCTCTTCTGTACTCCAGCCTTCACTGTGGCTATCAGATTCCTTCCTAGGTGCCGTCTCCCTACCCACCTCTGGCAATCATCTTTCTGTTCTCATACATCCTCAGCCTGGGTATAAATAGGGAAAAGGGCTTTGGCGGACCCAAGCGAGGAACTCTACTCCAGCTAAGTGACATCCGCTATGGCACATGAGTCTGAGGTCTATTTCAATCCAAAGTCTAAGGTCTTTTTCATGTCTATTCTGGATCCGGATTCATGCCGTGGACTGAGTCTGTCCGATAACTGACTGTAGGTTAAAAGTAACATGCTACTAATATGGCATTTGGCTTCCAGTAAAAGAGCAATTCAGCAGCCACTGAGGGGACATCCTGCAGGGCACCAGTGCTGGCCTCGGTCATGGCCCACAATGCCAGGATGCAGGAACACCCTTGTCCTTGGCCGTTGTCAAGGTTCAGTATCTTTCTGTGCCTCTGTCCTTCACCATCTTCCAAACTTGGGGTCTTCCAAGGCCCAAGCAGGCCCAATTTCTTTTAGGAAGCCTTTTCTAACTCTCTGGTCACCACTGATCTGTCCCTAAAACGCACAGCATCAACAGCCACCACACAGGACCTGTGGGGTTTTCAAGTGTGCTACTCTCCCTCTTCAGCAAGGCCATCAAAGTCCCCAGTGTGCAAGGGACACCTCCTATGACTTCCCCCAAGTACATACCACTCACTGGCTCAATCTTGCTCCTGTAGGAAACCCCAGAATTCCAACAGGCATACGATCAGCCCAGAGCATGCATTTCATAAAACCATGGGGTTTCCAAGGCAAAAAGGGCCTCTGAGATGGAGAAAAGCAAATCTTTCAACTAGTCCCAGTCTCCAGACCAGACCGTCTCTGGGGACGGAACGGGGGCAAGAACAATCAAGTTGGTGAGAAACCTGCCATCTCTCTTATCGCCGTCATAT